CTGGGTCTCACCTAAAAAATCCACTGCGCAGGCTCGAAGGGTTAATGACCTTTCCCAAATCTTCGCTCGCGAAGACTGGCCATTATCATAACATCCTCTCTTCCATCTCACAAAAGAAATAGTAACTTTTTTTTTTACTTACATAAGCAGGCAGATTTATTAAAGTTAAGCACTTGCATGGAAATTTGTTGGCTTAGTTTGCAAACAGAGAGACACATACACATACAAAGACTATAAGTGAGATATACAACAGAAGACAGTGAGAAAAGATAAAGGAAGAAGTAATAATTTTTGGTTCTATGAATGGCCTTTTTGAAGCTTAGGGGGTTTTGATAAATTCTAATCATCTTAAGCAGAAAAAAGTCATGGTAAAGCCACTTCTGAATAAAACAGCAAGATTAAGTTTTGAGGAGGCATTTGAAATTGGAGATCATAATAAATATTATTTACAGAAAAGGAGCATAATAACATGTTGTCACCAGGAAACAGATTGATGAAATACTGCTTTCAAGAAACAACAAGTTCAGACAAATCTACAGCAACTGAAAAACTTAACCAGTAACATTTCTCACTTTTCTGTATATCTAAAGAGAAAATATTTAAATAAAGCCAACAAAAAAGCTCATATGTTAAAAAAAAAAAATCACAAACACATTCCAGAAATTAAGATAGTTGTCACAATAAACACCCACCTCACTTACTTTTAGCTCTTACTCACTGTTAGTCACTTGTCTGTAGGCTGGGATACTTCTATTGAAAGCAACTAGTAATGGGCTGTAAGCACAGATGGTGTAAATCATCATTGCTCAACTAACACTTCAGTTGCTATGCTAATTCATACTATCTGGAGAGTAGTTTTGTATGTTCATGTTTTGTTTGTGGCCAATCAGGAATCAGAATATTAAAATGTATTTGTGTTTATTATGAAGGCAACATAAAATGTATGAAGTCTTTGACTATTCATATCCTTCTTTTTAACTGTTTGAATACTTTAGATGAAGTGGGATATAGTAATTACCATATTTACCAGTAATTATATTAATATTAATATTAATATATTAATATAAAAATATTAATATATTTTAAATTTCTTGTGAAGTATTTTCCTAAGAGTACCAAGGATACAAGAAAAAAAAGATAGCATTCATAAAATATTTAGAAGTTGTGATACATGAAATGTCATTTGGGTCAATATAAAGCAGTAAGTACAAAGTTACTGTACTGACAGCATGCTAAAGTAAGTTCACAGTCAGGAAAATAGTTTAAAAGTCTGAATGTAGAAAGAGAATGTATAACCTGTGGTAATGAAGACCAGTTTATTTATATTTACTTGTTTTAAAGTATTTTTCTTTTCAAGATATGTACACAGGAGAAAAAATTTTGTGACAGTTTTAGAGTCTTCACCATTGCTCCTGATCCATTTTGTTGCTTCTGTGTACCTTTAACAGCTTCTGACACCTACAGGTAACCTAAACATCGTGGATTTGAGAGGTTACTTTTTATTTTATTTCTAAGATGCAGTTTGGGTGTTGCAGTAATATGCAAGTGAAACTACATTGTTATTCAAATGGATTGTGAGAGAGATAGATTTTTATTCCATGGAATTATTAAAATGTACGTAATAGATAAAAAGAGCCTAATATCAAAAAAGGAAAAGGCAGACAAACCCATAATGGACATGAAAAATAAACTTGATTTCTAAAATGGGAAAGAAAATCAAGTTAATTACTATTAGCTGATGCTGTGGGAAAGAAGGACATAGCACCACAATGACCCGCATTTACAAGCTTTCATTCATGTAAACTTTTAAGTGGATAACACCCAGAACATCAATATTTTGGCCTTACAGTAAAAATAGATTCTTCAGAAAAAAGACTGTTAACTTGGAACAGTATCTTATTTTGTTGAATGCACTGGTCAGAAAATTGTCACTCTGATACTAGCCCAATTGTCAACAACAGAGAGCAGAGAAAATCTCAGAGCATGTCTTTTTTTTTCTTCCTTTTTTTTTCTTTTTTTAGATGCAAGGTGGAGGTGAGGTGAAGGACTGCTGGTTTATTTTTATATTGCCTTCTTGACTACCCTTCTGATGCTTAGGAACAACCTGTCTTCTGTGTATTAGGTATGGGTACAACTCTTTTAGCTCTACGGAGGGGTTGAAAATCTTGCAAGAACATTTATGCCTCAAAGCAGTTTGCCACTTGTTCTCCTTTTAGCCAGGGAAGAATCATTAATGTATTAGAAACATTTAAAACCCTGGTTTATGTTTGGCCTGCAAAAAGAAGGGGAGAAAGTCAATGTGGGTAAAGCACAGGGCTGCAAATACGATTTTTTTTTCTTTGTAAAGGTCTGCCTCAGAATTCTTATGACTTAATCGAAGCTGCATATGCTTACTTTAGATATATATAAATTTGGCTTGTTGACTCTCCAGTCATTAAAAATTGTTTCAAGCCATTGATCAAATGATGATGAGTTCCAGACAAATTTATGCTGAAGAATGTGCCTCTTCACGACCATTTAAAATCTAAATGGGTATTATGAAATCAGAGGGGGCAGAAAGTTTTTTAAGAGGTGGAGTTTTAAGTAGAGGACATGACTTTCCAAGACATTTTTTCTCGGCAGCTGTGAAAGCTCAGAAGAACTTCCTAGACAGGAACATGTGAGGACGCAGTCTTTTGTGAGCCAGTCAAGTGGAGACAGTTATGGGAAAATGGTAAATGAGATTCGAGTTCCAGAATATAAAAGGAAAAAGAAGCCCCTGTTCAAAGGGCCTGTCTGATTACTAAGTTGCAGAAATTATATGTTTATTCATCTGCTATTTTGTACTAGTACCTACAATTAAATGATGTCAGCTACAGTTTAAGAAAAATGGCTATTATAACTGATGATTCATTTAAAATACCTTCTTACCATATGCCAGCAGGAGATCAGGATGCAGTTGCACAAATGCTGTAAGCTGGACGTCACTGAAAGAAGAGTGTGGTTTCTGTTTGGTTAACGGCGTGTGAATGAACAAAGACTTCAGCCACTGAAGATGAGATGGCAAAATAGAAACAAGGATGCACAGCAATTGGTAGAGAAAGAGTGAACCAATGTGTCAGTGGCATGGGTGTACAGAGCTTGAGAAGATGCAAACAGATGCCTTGGTTGAGCCCATCTATCAGGTGATGCTCTAGCTCACGGTTTCCTACCCTCTGCTTCTTACTGTGATCCTTGCTGTGGATCTGGCATTGTTATAATGCAACAGGAGTTAGTGTGTCTTGCTAATCCAACAGAAGTACAGCAAGCTACTCTTTTTGACAGTCGTTAGGTTGACATTTGCCATCTGACAACAGAAAAGAGCTCTTTAGACTGAGAGTGGTCAAACACTGGAAGATATGCCTAGAGAGGTTTTCCTCTCCTTGGAGATAGTCAAGTGCTGGAATAGACAAGGTTCTGATCAACATGATCTAACTTTGGAGTTAGATTTAGTGTTGAGATTGGCTCTGCTGTGTAGAGGGAGTTAGACCAGCTGGCCTCCTGAGATCCCTTCCAACCTAATTTATTATATGGTATAGAGGGGGCATTTATGATTCCTGTATCTGGTATTCTGAACTCTCAGTGCATCAGTATGCCTGGCTGAAAATTTATCTGTCAAACATTAAGATAGTCCTGTCACTATTATGAAATTTCAGTGTATAAATTTATGTGTTTACATTTTTAGGAGCTTTTCAGGAGGAAGTCAGTTCTTTAAAAATACAGCTATTGTAAGGTTAATCTCATTGTTACTAAACCAAACATGTTAAAGCTAGGTTATTGAATATGAATTTACTGTAAAAATCACTAAAGTAACATGTACACATAAAGTTTACAAACAAGCTTAAATTTATGTTGAAGAGAGACTCGGCAATATGTATAATACATAGTGTATTTTAACTGATTAATCTCAGTGGATGTAAAAACATACTCATCCTCTCTCTACTTTGTCTCTCAGTGCCATGCCTGTGGTGCAGCATGGCTGCTGGATTTTATTGGATTGATAAAAGTTGTTCTTGTACTTAGCATTTGGATATTTTTATGGTAGCAAATCACATTTACATCCATAGAGAGGTCCTTTCACATAGGTAGGGGTGTGAAAAAAGGCCCTGGAATAAAATGAGTCAAGGCCATATATGTGTAATTTAAGGAATGAAGTTATGACATCCTTCAACAACAACAAAAAATCCATAGTAACAAATGCAAAAGCAAATATATCTTTAAAAAAAATCCAGAGTCTTATTCTGAATTACATACCTCACTCTTCATAGCTGTTCATAAGTCGACAGTGTAGCTGCACAGGGTATATTTACTTCCGTTTAAATGTTTCTTAACAATTCTAGAGTGGTGCAAAAGGGATGTATTATACTCATTTCTTCTCAGTTGTGCAGCCAGATTATGAAATATATAAGCCAAAACCATACGAAGACTAAGCAACAAAGCCATCTAAATTGTTCATGAATGATTAAAAAGTTGTTTGTTTTGTTTGGACTTCAAAATCCCACTCGTCTCCAAAACATGCTTGGTCTGATTGCTAGTTCAGAGCAACTAAAGATCTCATTTTTCATTTCCTCGCAGATTCTATACTCAGTTGAAAATTATGTCTAAGTGGGAGTCAAATGCTGACACCAGAAAGCAGACAATTGCATCTTGGTGGTATTCTACATTTATGAGTCTCTCTTGTGCCTGGCCAAAGCACATCTGGAAAAGGAAAGAACTTGTAAGAGATTCTGCCTGCAAAGCTCCACATGGAACGGAGCTGATACGAATCAAGCTTGCTTTTTTAGTACATCTATCTGCAAGTAGCTACAGTGTAGTACAAACAGACATAATAATCCAGATTATTTTGGAAGATTGATTAATGGGAACATTACTCATATACTCAGTGCATGACATTTCCTATTAGTTGTTCATATCATTTGAGAGTTAAAGGATATAAATACTTAGGAACTTCCCAGCAGTTGGGTTGCCACCTGTCTGCTGAACACATTAAAGGTGGAAAAGTGTGAGTTGTATTCCATTTAAGAATGCTGTAGCTATCTGTGGGACTCTGAATAACATTTCTGACACTGTCAGGGGAAAATTTTCCATAGCAGTCTCAACTCAGATTCAGCAATAGGGTCTTTTCTCCCTGACATAGCTAGAAATTTAAAGGATGTTAACAAAGGCAGAGGTAGTGGGGCTGATGCTTCTTGCAATAGGACAAGTATTAGAAAGCTAAGGACTATATATATGCAACCAAAGTGAACACTTAGCAAACAGCTGTCAATCTTTGTATAGATTCATTGCTTCCTCGGTTAGTATTTATACCTGACATTGTAGCAGTTGTTTAATAAAAAAGTCATTTGCATGAAGAACTGAAGATGGTAAAAACCAAAAAATATCTACAACAAACACACATGAAAATCCCCCACCTGCATTTCTTTTTGTAAAACGCCTGTCAAACACATGGCAAAGCTATTCTGTAGTATGACATCACTTGGTTCTATGAAATGACTACTGACGGGTCTGTTCACAACATCTATAATTATCTACTTACCTCGAAGTTTCAGTGATTTTGAGCAGCAGACTGATGTAAATGTTTCAAATCAGCTTCTGGAGATGCCTTTGAAACCAAACAGACTAACACCTAACATGGGCATCAACATATGTATGTCAGGCTTTCTTCTGTAGCTTAACCTGGGCCTTAAAGTCACGGAAAATACTTGGAGAAAACTCCTGAATGTCCTATTTGTAAACACATAGCTGTGGATCTCAAGGTATTGTGGAGAGGATGAAAGCTCCTCTTGCTATAGGTTTACTACCCTTAAATTACTTCATAGCATCATTTAGCACTTTTGTAGAGATATACCTCAGTAGATAGAAACCACTAGTAGTCTCTCATGGAGACCTGTAGAGGGGGAGCCATTCAGGAATTAGTAAACTTTAATGTACTGCTCCTGGGTCTGACAGCAAACCTGCCAGGGACCATGTAGGAAAGGAGCACAGTGCCACAGACAGCTTCTGCTGTGTGCAGAACTACCCTGTACAGTCTGACCATGAGTGGTTTGTAACACAAGACAGCAGGGATGTACAGGAGGCAAGATATTTGGTACAGTTGTCTGAAACTCTAGTGTTAGTCCCTACTTTTGGAGGGACAGTATAGTCCTCGGCCCCAAATTCTAAAGGGAAATCCTGAGATAGAAGTTAAAAAAGACCACTTGCTTAGAAAAAACAGGTAACTCTATTTCTGTGCTGGTGTTTCACAAAGCCCATTTGCTTCTTCTCTTGGATCAGCCTTGTCTGAAATTTGTTTAAAAGTATTGTAAAATTTAAAAGAAAAAAATAAACGTTTAATGTGTAGTTTTTTAATTACGGTCCTTTTAGACACGGGGGAATGCACACACAGCCCACCCCTGCCCTCATCTTGTACTTTAATGCTTTTTGCAAACCAGTCAATATTTTCTAATTTTTATCTTATAATTACAGCTAATCCTCTAAATCTTCAAACAGTTGCCATAAATCAATTATGGTTTCAAGTCAGAGATAATTTTGAGCTTACAGTTATTTTATATATAGATATGTGAATGAGAAAACTAGTGGATATTTATGTGCATTTGTAGTCAATCCTCTTGATTGTTAGATTTTTGATATGATCATTTGTGAACCAGCGTCTGACTTGAGAATTTAAATGCCATTTCTTCCACTGACGTCAAGACCAAAGTGAGCAAGTAGACCGGGTTGCGCAGGGCCCCATCCAATGACCTTGAACACTTCCAGGGATGAGGCATCCACAACATCTCTGGGCAACCTCTGCCAGTGCCTCACCACCCTCACAGTAAAGAATTTCTTCCAAATATCTAATCTAAACCTACTCTCTGTCAGTTTAAAGCCATTCCCCCTTGTCCTATCACTATATGCCCTTGTAAAAAGTTTCTCTCCAGCTCTCTTGTAGCCCCTTTTAGGTACTGGGAGAGTAGCTGTGCTTTTTGCTGTGTATTTCTGAAACAACACACTTTTATTTCCCCTGTATGGATGGGCAAGGCAGGCAGCCTGCCAGCTCCCAATAACCTGCTGCATATTTTGCCTGTTTCCTTGAAATAGCCTTGTGAACAACTGGGTGTTATCCAGGAGTGCATTCCTCATTTACATTTATTACAAATTAATACAACACTTTTTGTGGTGTAGCTTTTGATCCTGTAAATAACTTCTGTTCACCTGAGCAGTCTCATTAAACACAAATCTCATTAAACACAAATACACAACTCATTAGCAGTTACAACAATACTAGGAAATCCAATACTCTTAAATACAGTTGCAAAAGAGAAATTAGCCAATATGATGCTGACTTAAGATGGGGTGAGCAGTGCAGACCAGGGAAAAGTTCTGTATCTGATGACCCAAACCTTCACATGAGGGACAATGGCATTTCTGAAAGTAGTCAAGGTCATCATGGAAGTCCTCTGACCCAGTTACAATGCAGATCCAGCTTGCCATACAAGTCCTTCAGTTTTTGTTTAAGCTATGCAGAAACCTTGTTTATGCCCTTGGACAAGACAACAGTATCAGACTTAGATTAGTAAATGTTTTGCATGTGAGCACAGCCCATGCCACAGAATCTGGATCTGGACAAAACTGTTTAAAATTATTTTATGTGTTGTGGCAACCAGAAATGCTTTTACCAGAATGGCCAGCTACTAAGAGCAGATTTTGACTGGCTCTAATAGGTATGGCTATGCAGGCATATTTGTTTGTGTAGGCCAAAGGGGAGGAGCACGTTGCAAAATATCTTATGAACCAAAAAAATAAGACACCGAGCTGAAGTGGATTTTTAAACCTCTCGAGAATGAACAATATGCCTTTTTAGTAAACCAGTTGTGCATAGAGATCAATGTACACAATTAAAAGACTAATCCTGCTGTAAGTTCACCTCAAGTATTTCATGAATTTCACATGATCCACCCACTTTTTTTCTGTACCTCTGCAATTACCATATCAGCAGCAATAATTCTCTGTTGTTCAAGTGCCAGATACAACATGGCTCTCACATTCCTGAACGTGGCATATTGTGCTGCTCTGTTTGTTTGTTGTTTCGGAACAAGATTAAATTTTATTCACTTGTGCACCTCATTGAACTTTAACCCACTCTTTGTCATCTTCTTAATCAGTGATTTGTTTGTCTTGCTCTATGGT